ATTTCTCTTCTTATATATTATTTTCTCTTATCTGTTTTACTTGTTCCTTGTGTTATTTGCTGTAATTTCGAATTAGAGATCATTTATTCCTTTTCGATTTGATCCCCCCGTTATTCTGCGTGAAGTTGCAATTCTTACTGGATGTCATTATTTTTTATGCTGAAGATGGATGGAATGAATCTATTCCCGATCAGGATTTTATTTTATTTTATTTTGTTTGATGAGAAATGCTACTTCTTTGTTTTAAGAAGTTCTAAGTAAAACGTGATCAAGTATAGTGTTTAATTCTATTTCATTTTGTATTATTTATTGCTTCTTCTAATTTAATTCTTCCTTTGCTAACTTCAAAGCAGAGTACAGTTCTTTCTGATTTGGATCATGTTTTCATTGTTTGAAATAAATCTATTCTTTTGTCCCACTTGTAGTAGTTTTCCCAATGCATAGAGATCAATTCTTTTTTGCTGGTCTTTTGGGGCCAATTTTTTGTTTTTTGTTTTTTTTGTGTGTATTTGTTATGTACTTCTTTCATGAATAGGACTAGGGGTGTAATAAAGTCAAGCCTACTTGTAAACCAATTTGAGCTTGGCTCGATAAATGGCTAGTGAATCGAGCATAATTAGTTAATAAGACAAGTTTGAGCCTACCCTCAATGGATTTGTTAGCTCATGTAGTAGTTGGTTTAAAAAATATTAATAAAAAATACACTTAAAAGCTACGTAAAGCCAGTAATTTAGACATAAAGTTGTTAAAAGTATCTTACTATATATATATATATTGAAAACTGTGGAAAAGTATAAGAGGACTTAATTTTTAATATATATTGAAAACATTGGAAAAGTATAAGAGGACTTAATTCTTAATGGTGCAAAGGGGGTATAAATACCCATTACATGACTTACGGGTAAGGAAAACAATAAAAAAAGAATACAATAGACAAAGAAAGAAATAATAACAAATATAAGCGACAGTAATCTCTCTAATTAAGGAGAACATTAATAGAGATTCCTAAGATCCCTTATATAATTTATAACCCTCTAAATATATAGTTATAACAAATATGAAATATAATCATCATTATTTATGAGATCTTTCAACACTCCCCCTCAAGCTGACTTGAAGATGTCACTCATGAGAAACTTGCTAACTAGATTCTAGTCTTGCATTTTGGAAAGACATTTGGTTAGAATATCTGTTGTTTGGCTAGCAGTGGATATGTAGGACATACATATCACACCACTATCTATCTTCTCCTTGATGAAATATTTGTCAACTTCTACATGTTTTGTTCTGTCATGTAGAACAGGATTATGAGCTATTGAGATTGCAGCCTTGTTGTCGCAGTAAACTTTAATAGGTGCTGGTATAGGAATCTTCAACTCTTCCAGGAGTCTTTTTATTCATAATGCTTCATAGAGTCCATGTGCCATCGAGTGGAATTCTGCTTCAACACTACTTCTTGCTACCACACTTTGTTTTTTACTTTTCCAAGTAACCAGATTTCCGCCTGCAAAGGTACAATAACCTGATGTGGATCTTCTATCATTTACATCTCATGCCCATTCTGCATCTGTGTAGGTCTCTATTAGAAGATGTTTTCCCTTTTTGAACAAAAGTCATTTTGCAGTTCTTTTGAGATATCTCAAAATTCGGAATATAGCTTCGAAGTGAGTAGGTCCAGGTGAATGCATGAATTGAGTCACAACACTCACTACAAAAGCTATGTTAGGTCGAGTGTGAGCCA